CTGAAAGAAAAGGCCTGGTTCTACCCTTCCACTCCAGACAGGAGGACCTGGGAAAAGATGGAATTTGGAAGCAGGAATTAAAGGGAAGAAGCTGACCAGGGAAGAGGAGCTGGGGAAAAAGGAGGCAGGGAGGGTGTCTTCATTTATTTCTTCTTTTTTTGCTGCTGACAGTTCAGCCTTGATGTTTCATGCCCTCATGGAGCTGGTTTGATCCCAGAGTGTACCTGAGCTTCCTGGTACAAACAGCAACACTGTCCATCGATCCATCCATCCCTACCTTCCAACATCCCCACTGGGCGAGCAGAGGAAATGTCCCCTGAGTTCTAGGACCTTGCAGGACCCATAGCAGGTGCCTCCTGGATTTGATTTCCCCCAGGTTTCCTGCAAAAATGTGAATGAAGAGGGTGCTCCTGGGCTCTAGAGAACAGAAGGCATGCATAGTCTGGGTCAGGGGTGCCTCCTTCCCCAAGAAGAAAAGTCTCAAAGTGAGGACAAGACACTCCTCGAAGCTTCTACCAGAGACCACATCACAAAGACCCATTAAAGCACTAAGAAGATGACACCCATGGCTGCCACCCACCCATCCTGTGGGACCTATGGAAAACCAGAAGGTCCCTCCAGTCCCCGGCACTCTGCCCAGCCCAAGCTCTCCCAGCCTCTGCTTCCCACCCCCCAGGAGGAAAGACAGTGCCCAGGCTGGGCCAGGCAGCTGGCCCTGGTGCCCGTGAGTAGAGGGGACCCTCCCTGGAGAACTCGAAAATGCCAGTGAGCAAAGCTCAAACACCTCCACCCTGAGTCCTTCTCCAGCCTTAAAGCAAATCATCTTTTAATCCTGAAACACCAAATATTTAATTTATGCTCTACCTCAAATGTCAAGCCCACCTCCCAGCACATAGCTTTGAAACCACGTAAAGAAGCCTAACACTTTCCATATGGTAAAGACATGGGGCCTTTTAATTGTGCCAACTGGTATCATTCAAGGGTAATTCCCTTGGAATCCGGCGCTCGGGCAACAGCTGGGCCAGCCTCCAATCTCATCACCCAACCCCACATGTCCCCGTGGGACATGTAAGCCTGCACCCTCCTCATCTTCTCCAAATATCCAAATGTACTAGGTGCCCCCAGCCAAATTACCAAACTGCCTGGCAGCCGCCTTTGATCCAGAGGCGGGCTTGCCTGCACCATGGCTCTCAGCCTATTTATTCGGGCAGCTCTGCTGTACAAGAACAAAAGGGCCAATCGGGGCCGTGGGGAGGAGATTGTTTTAAATCTGGTTGTACATATTTACAATCGGCCTGTGAGTGTATACAGAGGCACACAGGCCTTCACCAAGTGTCTCCCACCTGATACCTGAGTCCCCTGCACTATTTAATCAATCTATTAAGCTTTTTCACTTGTCCATTCTATTTTCCACACCCAGTGTTTCCAATTGGTTTTCTTCTCTAACTGCCTGTTGCTGCTTCATGTTTCCAGCATCCTCCGTTGTCTGAGTTTATGATGCTTATTTTGCTTTCTAATTCTGTTTAACACAGTGTTCTCTGGCGTGTGTGCTGGTCAGTTTATTGCTTCTCTTCCACAGTACTCGTGTGCCTCCCATTTCTCATTCCTTTTCTCCTATGAGCCCATACTCCCTTGGACTTGCTCATGTCCCCATGGAAAGGGCAAAAGCCCAGCCCTTGGCCTGCATCCCTCCAAGTGAGCCTGCCATGAGAGTGGGGGAGGCAGAGAGCCTCTGGTGCTCTTATCCCAGCCCTATCACTCCCTGTTTGTAGGCCCCCATCTCCAACCCTACAAATGTCTTCAGTGAATCTCCCAGTAGGTTAACTTTCTTCCCAGGTTCAACGGTTATAATCCCATCATAACCCGCCAGGGACGAAAATATTATACCCATTTTGCAGATGAGCTAATTAAGGTATACAAGGGTAAAATGGTTTGCACAGGTGACAAATAACTAGGACAGAGCCTGACCTCATTTATTTCTGTATTTAAGAGGGCAGGCTTAGTTTAATGCCAGCACGGTCACCCTTTCACATCTCAGGACCCTGTGTGCAACTTGGACTCATCTGGGACATTTCCCAAGTTCATCAGATCCCGTCAGGAAGGAAGAGGGCAAACAGGGGCCATCCTGCTTCTGCCTGCCCCACGACTGGCTCATCTCGAAGCACCCCCTCTCTGGGAGTTTTGTATGCAGCACCCTCCAGGCGGATGCCCTGGCACAGGGCTTCTCTACACATGGCTTCTCCTAGAAACTGCTCCAGAAAGGGAGAAACACACAGTCCACACCAGCGGGCTGTCAACACTACAGGGTTATGGGGAGGATTAAGATAATGTAAGCAAAGTGCTTGACACATATAGGCACTTAATAAATACTAGTTATTATTGCAATAACAGTAATATCAGTTGGATGAGCCACTGTGTCTCCAGCCACTTAGTTGACAGGCCACATAAACGACTGGAGGCAGAGACTAGCCCCAAAACAGGCTTGGGGTTGGTGGGAGGACCTCTGCCAGCCCTTGGAAACCAGCAGACTTTGCAGCCCACGCCCTCCTACATCCTGATAATATCATGGAAGAACCTACCAGCTACCCCTTCGGCACCAGAGGGAATCGAGGAAATGAACTAGCCTGAGGGTTGCCCATTGCTGTCCTGTTCAATAGCTCAGTGCTTCCCAAACTGGGCATTCCATTCCCACATTCACAATTTTGACCACTTGTACTTAATATTTTTCTCTGAATAGACTTCACATTAGACTCTTTTTTTAACTTAGCTTCATCCTAAGCAATAATATCTGCAAAATCATGGGTTTGATGTCCTAGCTATTTTTTTTTCTGGTTAAAAAAAAAAAAAAAAGATAACTATTAAGATTTAAAATGTTCATCCAGGTACCACCTGAAATCACCTGGAGGACGCCTGGAGTGCTGTTCCACACCCTGGACTCCCCCTGAAGGTCTGACTCCTTATCACTACCTCTGCAGACACACTGGCTGGGCCATCTGGGGCCAAGGTTGGTGAAAACCCAGGCGTCTGGGTCCCCAGCAGCAAGAACAACTCCCAAGGAGACAGAGGCCAGCCCCCTGCTTAACATCTTTGATGGCCGGGGCCCACCCTCCAACCACCTGACACATGTCACGCCAACGGCTCTGAGCCTCACATCTTCAAAAGTACTTTGAACAAACATTAATGACCTCTCAGCATTTCTCTGAGAGAGGGGGCGAGGGAGGGAGGGGGACAGGCACCATCCCATGCTGTCCTCAGCTAGGGGAAGAAACCAGGCAACAGAATTCCGTGACTTCACCAAAGCCACAGACTTAAGCTGGGGCCCCCTCCCCATCCTCCCTCACTTCCCCCAATGGTAACTTTTACTGGCCTGCATTCCTCTCGCTGGGAACACTACTATTTAATTAAAAACGACAGACTTTTGTTTTCCTCTCCCTCTTTCCTCCTCCCTCCCATCCTCCCAGACTGGATGCCAAGGAGACCCACCAAAAACATGCGGGTAACATTTGTTATGGCTTTGAAGATAAAAGTCAATTGAAGTAAGCCCTCGTTGTATTTCAAGTTTTCCCTCTAGCACGGAGCAAGCTGCCTGGCAGTTCAGAAAAAAAGAAAAAGGAGGGACTGCAAATAAATGTCATTCTGCAGGAATACTTTGTAAAAATAAACAGGCTGAAAAAACCCAAAACTTGATTAATGGAAATCCACTCAGTGGGCCTCTGTCTGGAGCTGCAAATGCATTTGTTCATACGGCTAAATTAGACCATTTTCGTTGGTCTTTAAATAAATAAGTAGATCAAAAACTAGAAAGGGCAGGAGAAGAAGGGAAGGTTTGTAGTTCTGTTTTTAAAGGGCCTCAACTGCAGTGCCCCCCACCCACCAAGATTTGACCTTTACTAGGGGACAGCAGCTCCAAGTCCAACCAAGCCAACAGAAGACAGAGAAGCCCCCAGTTAAGCAGTGGTGGTGGAGGAGGACAGGGGAGCTTCTCCCAGGCCCAGAGGTTATTTCATCCACACACAGGAACTGACTTTATCCACAGGTCCACCTCCCGACACCAGCACTGCAAGCGGGCTGCCAGGTCCCACCACCCAAATACACACACATCTGAAGTCTCCACTGGCCTCTCCCCAGCCCATGGATAAGACCAAAGAACTAACCAGACCTGAGACTCAGTCTATTCCCCCTCTAAGTTTAAAAAAAAAAAAATTAAATGTCACATCAAAAAGTTGATTCATCCTTTGATCCTAGGCTTGCGCGAGTTCCACGCAGACCGCCTGAAAGCCCCGTGCAGAGTTCCGGAGCTCACAGGACATCTGTGAACGCCAAGTCCCAGGCCAGGAGCTGGGGCTGGACTCACTCATTCCCATCACACTTAGTGCTCCTCCACGAATTCCAGCCTCAGGGACCCATGGGGTGAAGGCTCAGGGCTGTGCCCAGGCTACAGTAGAATGAGGCCCTCTCTCTCATGTGCCAAGTAAGGGGTCTGCCAGGTCTCAGTCCCCCTAGATCTGCCACCCAGAGGGCCGCCTGCTCTGCTGGGGTTCCTGTACAGGTGGCACTGACGAATGCCACAGACAATCAGAACATATTCAGATCCTGGGGCTAGCACAGCTCTACCCTCCACCCAGACACCCCAATACCGCCCTCTCCCTAGCCCCTACTCCACCTCCACCTTTGAATGCTGGTGGCAGAAACAAGGTAGAAGTCAGAGCAGGTCCCCAAATCCCTCCGGTACAGACATGCTTCCCCATCAACTGGACCTTCACCACCTCCCCACCTAGGACCTTTCCCCCAGGCAGCCCTCTGCCTCCAGCTGGGCACTTCAAGGTTCTCCAAGGCATCCGGGAAGAGGGTCGCGTTGGTGGGGCAGGGGGCAGCTGAGAAGAGATTTTTAGACCCAGAAGCTGTGCAGGAAAGTGCTCAGAGTTGGGGTGCATGGGTTTGGGGACCCATCTCTGAGGCTGAAAGGAGGCCAGGAGGTGGGGCAGGGTGGGGAATCATACCCGGGTGCCTCGGCCTATGGTGCCCGCCAACCGCAGCTGTCGGGGTCCCGAGACACCGCCCGGGCAGCGCTGTCTCCCGATCCACTCCTCGATGCCCTTCCGAGCCCAGGCAGCGCTCACGGCGAAGCTGTCACCTGGGGCGGGGACGACATGAAGCCCCTGAGTCTGGCTCCGGGGACCAAAACTTACCCCCGCGGAGGGAAGGAGGCGCGGTGGGAGGCGAAGGGCCACGGCACGGGAGCCAGGAGGGGGTTCGCGGGCTGAGGCAGGAGCCAAGAGAGGGACGCGGGTAAGTAAATGGGGATTCAGCGAAGCCCCAGGAGCGAGGAGACAGAAGAGGGCAAGAGGGGTGAGCAGTACCCCTGGAGGACGGGTTTGGGGATCAGACCAGGGAGCGCTGGTGGCCAGGACTGCAGAGGAGAGGGCTGGGGGTCAGGAGAGGGGCCGCAGTAGGTGCAGGAGCCAGGATACGGGAGAAGGCTCCGGGGGGCAGGAAGAGGGGGCAGGGTCTTGCGGAGAGGCGCTCGGGGGTCTGAGGAGAGGGCGCCCTGGGAGCCGAGGGCAGGGACGCGGGAGGGGGAGGGGTTGAGGGTCAGCGGTGGGAGCGCAGGACCGCGGGGAGCGGGTAGAAGGGACAGAGGAGGGGGCGCGAAGGCTGCTCCGGGAGCGGGCTTGGGGAGCCGGTGGCCGGAACTGGGGCTTGGGGGTGGCCCTGGTCATAAGACCTGGTGGGCTGGGCCGTTCTGCCGCGGCCGCGGTGTCCCCCGCGTCCATCCCCGAGGTCTGCGCCCCGCGCGCCCCTACCTTCCGGGCTCTCCCTGCGCTTGCACACGGCGGCTGCAGGCACATCGCGAGGCGGCGGCGGCGGCGGCGGGAGAAGGAAAGAAAGGAAGGGAGAGAGTTAGCGACCGCGGCGGCGAGGGCGGCGGGGCCCGGGGCGAGCGCGCGGGCGGGGGCACTGACCCGGCTTGGAGTGAAGTTTCCCCATGCTGGGGCTGCGGCGGCTGGGAGCGTCCCTAAGCCATGCGCCCGGCCCGCTGGCCTGGCGCCTCGCCTGGCTCTCCGCCTCCTCTCCTCAGCCTCCGAGCCGAGCGGAGCCCGAGGCGGAGCCGGGACGCGCTCCTGCCGCCGTCGCCGCGGCCCGACTGACGCCCCGGAGCGCGGAGCCCCCAGCCCGCCGCCGCGGCCCGCGCCTCCCCGCGCGCCCATTGGCCGGTGCGGCGCATCAAAGGCGAGGCGGGCTGCGGCGGGGGCGGGGGAGGGGGCGGGGACGGGGCGGGGACGGGGGCGGGGCACGGACGGGAGGGGCGGACACAGACCGCGCTCCCAGCCGCGGTCTGGGGACCCCGCGGGGCAGCTTTTCCAGGAGGCGTATTGGGACAGAACACCCCGGCCCTCGCCAACTGTACTGTCACTTCCCTCCGCTCCAGGTTCCTTCTAAACCGGCAGGGCGAGCCTCGGCGGCTCCAATTTACAGATGGGGAAACTGAGGTCGGGAGCGGAGACCTGAGCTGCTCAGGTGCAAGCTTCGACAGCGCTGCCTTTTCCCAGTCTTCCCACGACCTACCTTCTACAGAAAGTGTTCATTACCCGCCCCGTGCCCCGCCCCCCACCAGCGCACTCCTCTAGTTTCTTATTTGGGAAGTCCAGGAGGAGACCCCAGCGCACCCCGGGTCAGTGTGGGCCCAGCCCTCTCTTGGCGGCGACAAACGTCCAAAGCGCCCCGTTATCAGCCAATCTCTCGCATCTCCTCGTCCAGGGGCCCGTGGGTGCCCGCCCGGGTCGGGGCGCGCTGCCAAACTGCGCGGCCCGGAAGGGGGTAACCGCTGGGTCTTTGATCTTCCTTGGTTTCCGCTCCCCGCTGCAGTTCGCCAGACCCATGGGTTTGTTTGTTTTGTCTGGGGAGGTCTCTGCGGGGAGGTTGCGCGGCGGGGGTGGGGGGGGCGGTGGACATCAAGGGGTTGAACCCCACCTTTGTGGCTCTCAGAACGCCTGCCCCCTTCTGGGGACACTGTGGGTCCGTGTTACGCTCGTCCTGGTACCAGGCAGCCCAGGCGTGGGAAAAGAAAAGCCGGAGCTCAGAGTGAAACCAGCCCCGACCTTTGACGTGAATTCCCTGTGCTCAGTTTTGTGATCTGTAAAATGGAGGCTCCATTCTGCCCTTTTTGCCGACTCTCCAGAGCAGCACTGCCCAATAGAAATATAATGTGGGCCACATTTGTAATTTTACATTTTCTCGTCGCCGCATCTTTTAGAAGTGAAAAGAAATAGATGAAATATTAATAATATATTTCGCTTAACTCAATACAGTCAGCCCTCCCTATAGGTTCCACATCTGCGGCGTCAACCAGCTGTGGACTGAAAATATACAAACAGAATAATACAGCAAAAATAAAGAATAAAAAACTTTTTAATACAGTATAACAACTATTTACATAACATTTACATTGTATTAGGAATTACAAGGAATCTAGAGATGATTTATAGTATACAGAAGGGTATGTGTAGGTTATATGCAAATACTACAAGACATTTTATATAAGGGACTTGAATTCTGGGGATTTGGGTATCTTCTGGGATCCTGGAGCCAGTCCTCAAAGATACCAAGGGAACAATGTATATCTAAAATAGTATAATTTCAAGATATAATGAGATATTTTACATTCTTTGTATTGCACTAAGTCTTTAAAATTCAGTGTGTATTTTACACTTAAAACACATCTCAAAGACTAGCCATATTGCAAGTGATCATTTGCACTTGGCATTGTGGCTACTGCATTGGGAAGCATCGCTCCAGAAGATCTACATGTCTCAAAAGGACATTAGGAATTCACAGCCCCCCAGAGTCATAAACCTCTTCATCCAAGTGTCTTACTTTCATCTTCCAAGCTTCCTTTTATACACACCCTTTTTGGTAGAAACGAAGGCTAATGTTATAAGCAGGTACATTATAATCCTGTTGGCTGGGTGGTTTCATTTGAGGAGTGCTGAAACCACAAAAATATATTACTGTTGTCATTTTTATGTTACAGTTCTTCATTCAGTACTTCTGATGTGTCAGTCCTCGTCCTCCATCATGCATAGTCCTCGCAACCACTCTCTGATGCAGACTCATACTTGTTCTAGAAAGGAGGAAACCTATTCAACCCAGAGAGGTGAACTCACTTGCCCAAGGTCACACAGTTCATCCATGACCCAATTAGGAACTGAACTCCAATCTGTTTATTTCATTGCCCAGGCTCGTTTTCACTACATCAGGTTGTTCCAACACAGTGCAAAACTAATGTTCCACCACTAGAAAGAGAGTCTCCCATCTGGAAACAAATATGAAGGGCCAGCTATGTGACAACCATTGTTTTAGGCACTTAAGATACATCAGTGAACAAAACAGACAACTGCCACTCTCATGGAACTCCCACTCACCTAGGGGGAAGATAGGCAAGAAACAATAAATGTAATGAATGAGTAAACAGTATGGTAAGTTACACCAGAGGTAACAGGCCATTTTTCTTTCTTTCTGTCCCATAAGGAGCTGGCAGCAAACAATTTTGCCCTCTGGGGGACACTTGGTAATGCCTGGAGGCATCTAGTGAGTAGAGGCCAGGGTTGCTGCTATACATCCCACAATGCATAAGGCAGCCCCACCCCCACCCCACCAGAACAAGTGACCCAGCATCAAATGTGGGTAATGCTGAAGTAAGAACCCCTGGGCTGTAGGAGCATGAACAAGTGAGGCAGAACTGCAGGGGTCGGGAGTAGGAGGGAGGCAGGGGTTTGAGCATCTGAGTCAGAGTAGGCACCCTCTTTCAGACCCCAAAAAGGCAATGGAATTCATCTGGGGTTTCTGTTTGGCTTTCTCACCCCTCCCCACTGGTACCAGGGTGCCTCTAAATCAAAGCAAAACTTGGAGCATCCTTTCTCACAGTGCTTAGAAAGTTGGTTACTTTCTTAAACCAGTTCTGGCTTTCTTCTTTCATGAGAAAAAAGTATCCCCTCTTCCCCTTGGGAATTTCTTTTTACAGTTCAAAAAGAGATAAAAGCAGGAACTAAAACTGCAGTTAGCAGTTTGAGTCTTGCAGGGAGTAAATCCCAAATGTCCAGCCCAGACACAAAGCCCCCTTCCACCTTCACCCTGGCGCCTCCCAGCCCAGCAGGCGCCTGGGGCTTCACCACTATTGGAATCATGACACCCCTACTGGGTCTGGGGTGAGAACCCAAGAGATGGGCCTTGTGGCAAAATGTTAGCCTGTCCAGGGCTCTGAGAAGGGGGTCTCCAGGGGCCACCAGCATGCTGTCCACCTGGGGTGGCCATTCGGCCTCCGAGGGCTTCCCACCCCACAACTAACTGTCTTTTTATGTGTTTTAATAATTTATCTGGCCCATTTCTGGGGCTGTATACTTACAGTGACACATCTTTTTCTTTGAAGATTTCCCATCCTTTGGGGGAGGAGAATGGGAAAGGAAGGCAAGGAAGAGATAAGAGAGATTATAACAGAAACGGGTTTCATGGGGCTTGAGATTTAACAAGGCTGGTTTAGGTGAAATCTGTCAGACACAGGGCTGGGAGATTTAAAAAAAAAAAACAAAAAACAAAAAACAAAAAACCTACATCACCCAGGTTGGCTGCCCCAATGCTTGTCCCCCAAGTTAAGCCATCTGATCTGGCCCCCTTCATAAGCCACTTCCTAAAGGAAGCCCTCCTTGACCTTCCAACCTGACGGGCTCTTCTCTGCTCTGATTAGCCAAGGTTTCCCTGCCCCCTCCCATCTCCAATTATTTTTTATGGATGAGGCTAAGTTTCACTCCTGGAGCCAGGGCTCCTTGAGGCCAGGGTTCTTGCCTGACTTGCATCTCTGAATGCAATGCTGAACACAGCACTGCCTATAGCAGGTGCCATCACACCTGCTGTGGAAGGAGAGAAATTCACTCTGCCCAGCCTTAGCCAGGAGCATGTTGTGCTCAGTAAGGAGGGAGTACTGCCAAGAATATGATCTGGGATATATGAAGGAGAAAATCAGTTCCCAAGTCTCCACTGGTTCCTCCTGGATCCCTGAGTTGCTTTATTTTATCGTTCCCTGGTGAGTTTTGGCATTGCTAAGGGGCCTGGAAGCCTAGTTTGGGTGAGGAGGGGAAAGTTAGACTACTCTGCATGAGAAAATATCAGGCATTTTGGAGGGAAGGGAAGAGAAAGGTCTCAAAAGAAACAGCATGAGAAGAGAGTGATAATGGGGCCTAAGAAGGCACAGCCAGCAAGGTGGGGAGTGGCCAATTCACTTTTGGGACAGTGAGCTCTAACATGCGATTGGCAGTGTTCTCTTCTTCCTTTGTTACTCCAAGCCCTCAGCAAAATCCTAGCCACTTCCCTGGGTTAGTGGCACAGGACAAAATGAAGGAATCAGAAAGATGACCCCCACAGGTCATCTTGGGGGCCAAGGGCAATCTTCAGAGTGGAGATATCCTGCAGGAGAAAAGATGGGAGCCAGAGGCAGCCAGGAGGCATTAGGCCTTGGATATGAGATGGAGGAGGCTGGGCTTCCCCAGGAACTAGGGCTGGGGTCTCCAAGCCACTCTGTTTGGGTACTAAAGGCAGAGGGAACAGCACATGCAAAGGCCCTGAAGTGGGGACTGCTATGGACATTTTGGAAACAGCAAAGAGGCCCCTGGTTCTGGAGCAGAGCGAGCATGGTTTGGGAGCAGAGGGGAGAAGATGAGGTTGGAGGTGACTGGGCCAAAAGACAGCTGCTTGAGTACAGTCTGGATGTTGGTTGAATTGAATTGAATTTTTGTGCCACCAACTCCTCCTGGGTTCAGGGTGTTTGAGCAAGTTTAGAGCACAGGTTTCGCAGGTGAGCCTGGAGGACAGAGAATGCCAGCCCAGCCTCACCATCTCCTTGGCAGGCGCCCTGTTCTCCTCCCAGCCCTGCCTCTCTGCTCTTCTTGACGCTGGTCAGAGAAGCTATATTAGTCTGTTCTCAGGCTGCTACAAGAACATACCGGAACTGGGCAATTTTTAAAGGAAAGAGGTTTAATTGACTCACAGTTCTGCATGGCTGGGGAGGCCTCAGGAAACTTACAATCATGACAGAAGGGGAAGCAAGCACATCTTTCTTCACATAGCAGCAGGAGAGAGAGGTGCCAAGCAAAGGGGGGAAAACCCCTTATAAAACCATCAGATCCTATGAGAACTCACCATCACAAGAACAGCATGGTGTT